AGCTCTGGCTACCTCTGGCTTCTCCATCCCCTCTCTGCTGGAGGCTTCAATCCAGAGAAGAGGACATGCTGTGCTGGGCTCAGCCATAGATAAAAGCCCTGAGGTGGGCCTGGGGAACGGCTCCTGACAGCCCAATACGATGGTGGTGTAAACAGGGCACGACTGAGCGCATGCCGGAAGTCCTCGCATTAGCCTTTCCTGGGGAGCGGTAAGCAAGGCCTACTTGCCTCTGGCATGGGATAGACTGGTTCCCTGCAGGTCCAGCTTGTGAACTAAGGAGTTTATTTAGCTTCCTGACAGAAGCATGGTGGAAATGCTTATAGGAGCGCAGGTGATCACGATCCCCAAACACTTATCACAAAAAAGTCTCAGGCAGCCTGAATGTGCTTTCCTGTAGCTGCTCAGCTGGGATCCCCCTCAGGCAACCTCCCATCTTCTCTACACTCTAGTGCCTCCGGAGGATCAGGAACAGTCGGGCAGAATAACACACGCCGGGAAGGGAGGAGCAGGACAGAGTGGCTGGGGCCTCAGGTGAGAGTCTAATGATCCTTCCAGCTATAAAAGGTCACAGGCCCCTTCTTGAAGGTACCTTGTGGATAGTAACAAGCTGCTCTGATAAAGATGGGGACGGCAGCCCACCACGCCCAGGGCCCTGGGGAGTCATCGCCTCTGTGATTGGACAGCTGTCTGAGGATGAGGAGGTCTTCTTTTCTTTTCTGTTCTTCCCTTCCCTCCCTCCTTCCTTTCTTTCCTCCTTTTTCCCTTTAGGCAGAGTCTAGAATGGTCCAGAACACTCAACTCTCCTGGTCTCTGTCTCCTAAATACAAAGACGACAGGTGTGGGCTAGGATGCCCTCCTGCTCCCATTAGCTAGCGTTTTGGCCTCTGGAGGACAAACACAGGGCTTAGCATCCTTAGGGCTTAGCATATTTAGTGAGAAATATGAAAGAATATAGCCTGGGGCTGCAGGGCAGTCAGCAGAGGCCCACTTAGCATGCGCAAACCCCTGGGTTCCATCTATGTTGGACATCACAGAAACGAGGCCCTGTGGTGCATGCCTGTCATCCCAGCACTTGAGCAAGGAGGGGGAAAGTAGCTCATACATGTTTGAACATTCACTGTTAGCCCTAAATAGTCCTATTGACAAAGGAAGAGTCAGGCACAATGGCACACGTCTTTAATCCCAGCACTTGGGAGGCAGAAGGCAAGCTGATCTCTGTGGTTTCGAGGCCAGCTTGGTCTGCAGAATGAGTTCCAGGACATCCAGGGCTACACAGAGAAACCCTGTCTTGAAAACAAAGAAAGAAAAAGAAAAGGAAAGGGTGTGTTACTATTAAAAACAAAAAGCAACATCAGGCTCATAAATCAAAGGGAACTGAGACATAAATGCATAGAAAATAACACATTAGCTTGGGAGTGTCAGCCACCTGAAATAGGCTGGCAAGCCTTCTCTCTGGCTCTAAGGGGTTGAACCAGACCTAGATAAAGCAACAAAGCCATCAGCCAGTGAGGTACCTCTCCCTGAGAGAGAAACTGTGTTCCTCGGAGCAAGGGGAAGCTCTCTGTGTTCCACAGAGACTCATTCTGGAGAATTCACCAGTGGTTCCCAGTCACCCATCAGGAAACTCCCCTGTGGCCAAGTAATATTCACTTTGTTTTTAAGCCTGAACCGCTCCTGGGAATGCCTGGGAAACAGCTGCCCGGCTCAGACTGGTAACCGCTGGCTCTACAGAGAGGCCCAGTTGCAGGGTGTCTCCTCTGAGGCTAGTTGAGGACTCCCTACTCCCAGGCCCAGCAAGCCCCTTCTTGTCCCAATGCCTCTGGCACACTGGAGAAGTGGGCAGAGGGCCAGACTGGCCCACAGCAGGCCCAGCTGGGCCCTAGCAAGCCCTTAATTATCTTTCTTGTTAATGAAAATCTGAGAACCTCCAGCCAGCTGCACTGGGAAGACCCTGGGTCGGATGTTACCGTGAAGGAGGAAGGAACAGAGGAAAAGGGTGCGGGGGCAGAGCAAGACTTCCTGCCTGTTTGTAGGGAGAGAAAGCCAGGGCACGAGATAAGCAGTTAGGTTCACAGTTACAAGTGCAGGGCTCCCAACGGGCCATGTGGGCTCAACCACAGGCCAGATGCCTGCTGCCTGTCACCTTCAGTAGCTCACAGCCCCTGACTGCTCAAAGCGTGGTTCCCACATGATCAACACCTCCTAGGAGCTCAAAGGAAAATCAGAATATCGGACGGGCCCACACTTATAATCCCAGCATTTGGGAGGTAGATCTCTGTAAATTCAAGGACAGCCTGATCTACGTAGTGAGTTGTTACAGGACAGCCAGAGCTACATAGTGAGACCCTGTCTTGGGAACAAAGACAAACAAATAAAGCAGAGTCTCGGGTTCAAACCAGCTACTGAAGAACCTGTACTGGGACACTCTCTACTGGGTGACTTAGAGGCACGCACTTGTAAGAGCCTTCGTTTCCTCATTTCTGCAATGGGGCTACCTACCTAAGAGTTTACCACTTTTTTTTTTTTTTTGAAGCAGGGTTTCATGTAGCCCAGGCTGGCCTCAAACTAATATGCAGCTGAGGATGACTCCTACATGCTGGGATTTGCCACTGTGTTCTCTTTATGCAGTGCTGGGGATAGAACCCAGGCTTCCTGCATGCTAGGCAAGCACTCTGCTAGCTGAGCCCCATCTCCAGCCTGCCACCTACCACTGTTCCCATCAGGGAAGCATTCAGAGCAGCTCTGGGCTCCCGCCAGCCACTGCCTTTCTTGCCATCCCCAGTACTGGGAAGCATGAGACCCACCATGAAGATGAGGGAGCCACGGCTCAGAGAGGTGCAGTCACTGGCCCAAGATCCAAATGGGGACGTCTGTGTCTTCTCTAAGCCTAAACTGTTACTACGATGACCAGGGAGCAGGTAGGAGGTCTCCCCCTGTTCCCAACTCTGAGAGGTCTACCTTGCTGGTGTCCCCATTTTTCAGATGAGGAAAAGTGAGGCACACAGAGCTTGGGCTGCTTTTCCAAAGCCCTCCAGGAAGCAAGGCTAGGTTTGAAGCAGGGAGGACCACATCATTTCTGTGTTACACTGCCCACCGCTCAACATGTCCTCTGTCACGTCTCTGCCTCCCTGTTCATCTCCCTGCCAATCCCAGCTCTGGAGTTCTGAGCCGACATCTTCCAGGCCTAGACCACTAATGAGCTCTTGGCCACCTGAGGCCCAAACTGCAGGCACTGGACTGGCTTGGGGAAAGAACCCTTCCTTCCAGTCTGCACTCCCAGCAGGAGCACTGAGGACAGCAATGGGAAGATCTATATGCAGGAGCTGCTCAGAACCACCTGGCTCTGGTCTGGAGGCAGCTGGCCCAGAACCCTGCTTCCTTCTGCCTCTGAACCCAGCACACCTCCTCAGCCTGGTCTTCTTCAGGACCTCCCCCCACCCCACCCCCGGAGACAGGGTTTCTCTGTGTAGCCTTGGTTGTCCTGGAACTTGCTCTATAGACCATGCTGGCCTATAACTCACAGAGATCCACCTGCCTCTGCCTCCCAACTGCTGGGATTAAAAGTGTGCGCTACCACCACCTGGCTCAGTCAATGTATTTTATCAAGAGCCTACTGTAGCCAGGTGGTGGTGGTGCATGCCTTTAATCCCAGCACTCAGGAGACAGAGGAAGTCAGGTTTCTGAGTTCAGGGCCAGCTTGGTCTACAAAGCAAGTCCCAGAATGGCCAGAGCTACACAGTGAGACCCTGTCTCAGAAAAACAAAATGACAGAACCTACTATACACCAACTGTAGACCCATCAGTGGATGGTCCAGTCTTAGTGCTGAAATAGAAACCAAAAGTTAGTGAGACCCTTGAAAAACACAATTTCACAATGGACGGGAGAGTGGCAAAACAAAAGCCTCCAGAGCAAGGGCATGGAAGCTGAGATCTGGAAGATGATATGGAAGAATGTTCAAGATGAAGGAATGGCATGGGCCAACGATGGGAGGTAAGAAACAGTTTGGTGACCTCAGCTTGTATCTAGGACATTCTGTGTGAGTCTGAGAAAGAAAGTTAGCAGCCCCTGGCCTCCCAGCTCTCAACCACGTTGTCCCTTCCTATCTTCGGGAGTACCTTGGACCTCAAAGGTCTTGAGCCTCTTGGGAGTTCCAGGTGGCCACCATGGAGTGTCCTGTCTCTTCCCGGACTCTCTTCTTGGGGGCATTCACCACACCAGCTACTACCTCTGTGTTCCTAGCCAATTATGTCTAGCCTGACATCCTACCTCTGCGAGAGCACCTGGGTAGCATTTAAGACTTTTGCAACGAGCCTTCGGTTCCTAATGTCAAATGAGATGATACATTTTTATTTGGGGTTATTTTGATTTGTTGAGCAGTCTGAACAGAGAATGGTACTTGGTAAAGTCTTAACTAAGAGATTATGTTAAAATAACGCACCCCAGTCCGCAGCTCTGAGGGCAGGGACCTTGTTTGTCTGGCTTATGGCTGACTTGTGGCTCAGCAAGATACGTGTTCGGTGCAGATAGGTGGGTGGATGATGATGAAATTAACCTCCCCCCCCCAAAAAAAAAAAAGAACGGCCAGCTTCTTTCCAAAGCACAGTCATTCAACTCTGTCCGTGCCTGCAACTTTGGGGTTGTGTGCCACTCACACCTGTTGCGTGCCTCAGTTTCCCTTCTGTCATTGTGCTGAGACTACGCTCACAGAAAGAGGACGCCAGGAGCAAGCCCAGTAGCGCCGGCACCCAAAAGGCGCACACGGAAGCCCAGCCGCCCACCGCCCGCCCTAGCTCCGGGACCCGCTAGCGGCCCAGCATCCTCCCTCATCCCCTTCCCGGCTAACGCTCCCGCCCCGCTTACCCCAAACCCACGCACCGCGCCCCACCCCCAACGCGTGTGATTCCACCTCCCCCGTCTCGCCCCGCCCCGTCGTCCCAGCGCAATCTCCCGTTGGCCGTATCGGAGCATCCCGCCCCCGGCCTGGGCGGAGCCGAAGCACCCCGCCCGCCGCAGATCTGGCTCTGGCGTCTGGCTAGTGCGCGGCCGCCCGACCCGGCTAGTGTGCGGGCGGAGCCGGGCGGCGAGGCTGCTGTTGGCGGAACGTGCCGGACTGCGGGCCGCGAGATGGTGAGCAGGACCGGGCAGGGCGGCCGGATAAGGGGGAAGGGATGAGCCGGGGTGCGGCGCTGGCGGGTCGGCGCCGCGGACGCCGTGCGCGGGCGGGGGCTCTTTGTCCTCGGCGGTGCGAACGGGACAAAGGAGGCGGTGGGGGGCGGAGGCTGCTCGGCGGGGCGTCTGTCCCTCTCGGCGACCGGCGGTTCTGCGCCCTGCACGGATCCTCCGGGCTGCCCCAACACTCACTCTTAGCACCGACAGGAGTCCTGGCAGCGTCCCAGCGTGGTCAAGATGGGATCAAGGGGGATGGGAGCCCAAGGAACATCTGGCGTCCGTTTCATCAGTGGGGAAACTGAGGCCGAGCCGCAGCGTTTGTTCCCGATCCGGCTGGCAGTGACTGCGCGGTGTGGGCTGGTCCGTCCTGGTCCTTCCTCCCCCTCCCCGCAAAAAGAAAATCCGGGTCAGGAGGACTTGATTTTTCTCTTCAGCTGTCGTTTCTTTCGCAGCTGTCGCCCCCTGAACGGGCCCCTGCTTCCCTCACGCTTCGCTTTGCTCCTTCTGTAGAGTGGGGGAGACTCGGCGTCGCCTGGCACAGCGCCTGCACGCCGCCCGCGCTTTGCACGCGGGAGCTGCTGGGGTGCTTGCCATCAGTGTCTAGTCCTCGGCCCAGGTCACCTAGACTAGCTCCTAGGAAGGGGTCAGACACCGATTCAGTGCCCTCAGCCTCCAGAAGAGAGACAGGTCAGGTAGATGACGTTTTAGAATCATGTTTGAAATCGTTAATTTAGGATCCAGACTGCCAGGATTGAATAACCGCAGATCCACTTTTAAGATGTGTGACCTTGGGCTGCTGACTTAACTTCTCTAAGCTGTATTTATTTGTCAGGTGGGAAGAGTAATACCTCGACTCCAGGATTGTTTTGAGGCAGAAATTTTGGGGAGATCTACTGAGATGTTGAGCTCAAGAGTTCGACACCAAGGAACTTTTTCAGGATCTGCTGTTATATCTCTCCCAAAGTTGTATGGCCAAACGGGATCCTGAAGAGTGCGGGCAAGGGACTTACACAGGAGGGCCAGGACTCAGGCCTGGACTGTGAGACCGCAGCTGACCTTGGGGCAGTCCCCGAACTCCTCAGTCCTAGGTTTCTCTTCTAGAATGGGCGGGGTGGGGGGGGGCAGGTGACAGTAGACACAGCCATGCTGAATGTTAGCTCTCCTTCGGATGCTGTTATCCTTATCTAAGCTCTTGGACGGCAGAAGCCCTCGGTGATGGTGCCTGTTGGAATATGGCAGAACGGAACCTGCGGCAAGAAATACTTCTGGCCTGGGGTCCCCAAAGAGGAGACTTGGCAGGTGGCTTTGTTGGAGGGTAGGACAGTGCTGGAAGCTCCTGGGCATTAAAAACATTAAGAAAAAATTTAGCAGGCCCTAAAAACAGGGCAGTGTTTCTGGCTCCCTTGGAGTGCCCCAGGAGGTAAAGGCTTAAGGTGAGGTGGCAGAGCTGAGTTCAGCAGCACTAAGTGAGGAGCAGGCAGTGGGGTGTCCCCAGAGAAGAGGTCATTTGTGACATTGGGTCCAGGCCAGACTCTGTGCCTTGGGGTGCAAGGGTCACAGAAGGAAAGGGAGGTCATTGGGAACAATCCGTGGGGTAGAGAGGGTGTACCCTCTGGGATCTGAGCATGAATGATGGAATGAAGGGTGAGTTTGGGGATCCCATGAAGAGGAGGTAGGGGTAACAGAGGCCCTCACCATTGAAGATCTAGAGGAGAGTCTGAATTTTAGGAGACCCTTGCCCAGAGTGCACTGTGTTATTTTGAGACCTGTGTGCTCTGGGTCTTGAGAAACCAGACTCAGCAATTCTCAAGCATTGCAAACTGGGGTGGATGTGGAGTGCCCAGGCCCATCTGACCAGTGTTCACCTGGAAGCTGTCACTGCTGTTGCTTCCAACAAGGACATGGTATGTGGTGTGACCTGTGCTCTAGATGACCCTGAGTCTCAGTTTCCGCATCTGCAGAGTAGGATGATCAAGGCAGTAAAGAGGAGATGAGGTGGATTGGGGGCGGGGGGTGATGGCTCTGAGGTAGTCCTGGGATTGTCCTCAACTGGGCTGTGTTATGCCCAGACCCACGGGCCTCGGTGGATGAGTGGAGCTCAGTGGTGTGCAGAGGGGTGTACTAGCCAGTTGTAGGGTGTCCCAGCTTCCTCTGGACTCTGCTTCTCTGCTGCCGCCCTTCCCTGCCCCAAGCATGGACAGTTTGCCTGGTAGTTCTTAACTTGTAGGTCGTGACTCTTGGGGTTCGAATGACCCTTCCACGGGGATCACCTAAGACCATATTCACATTACAACCTATAACAATGGCAAACTTAAGTTTTGAAGTAGCGATGAAAATAATTTTATGGTTGTTATCCCCACAACATGAGGATCACAGCATTGGGAAGGTTGAGAACCACTAAGTTAGCTGTTTCTGTTTAGGCTCAGACCTGTTAGGCACCACTGCCATGCCTGAACTTGGCTTATATCCTCTTTTTTCAAAGACTGTTGGCAGCATAGGGACCTGTGCTTAGGAACCTGGGAGTAGTCTGGAGTTAGGGAGTTGGCTCGGACTAGTGTGTTCTGATTGGTCCCCAGGTCTGGAACCGCGTTGCAGCCAGCCTTTCCTGAGTACCCACTGTGTGTCACGTGCCATCCACAGTGGAGCATGACTGTGAACGTGAGGGACAGTAACCTTTTCTTAGCCTCTCTAGAGGCCACAGGCCAGGAAGTAACAGCCAGGGAAATAATCCCTAAACCAGGAAACTGCAGATAGCAGAGAGCTGAGACAAGACTGGGGTGTAGGTGGTGCAGGGGGTACAGGCTGGGCTGTGTGGGAAGAGGCAGCCCCAAGGGTCACCTCTGGAAAAGTTCCCAGTTCAGTACTAAGGGAGGAGGCAACGGCAGGACAGTTTAGGAGGCATGGGTGGTAGCCACGCTTTCTGCAGAGGGTGAGGCAACCTTAAGAGTCCCCCCTTCTGAGGCCACAATGACAGGTTTGGGATTACTTCTCAGGAAACATTTGGTAAATAAACAAAAAAAAGAGGCCCATCAGGGCTAGGTGGAGGCCACAGGCCAGGCATGGCCAGCCGGGTCACAAGTCTTTATGCTCAGAGGTCAGAGCCATATACCTGACTGTTCACCTCCAGGCCTGGGGCAGGCATAGGCAGGAGTCTGCAGTCGTCCTTGCTCTCCTGGGGTCTCTCTGGGCTGGAGCTGCTTGGCCTCAGTTTCCTCATTACTCCCAGGACAGCTGTTTCCCTCAGATCCCGGTACCATTGTTTGATTTTCCACTTGCTATCCCAGAACCACCCCAGACCCCAAACACACACTTCCCCTTCCTGTCCAGAAGACAACGGGAGGAAAGGCAGGTGGAGGCAGAACCATGGGTGTCCTGTGTGGTCTGGCTGCGTGGGCAGGGGGAACTGATGTTGACAGGTAGGTACTAGGCTAAGGGGCAAGCAGAGCACTCCTGGGACATGCAGCTCTGGAGATAAGGGAAGGCCAGGAGCTAGGTCGCCATGGCAGGGGAGGGAGCTTCCCTGGCCTTCTGGTTGGAGAGGCTTCTTTCCCAGAGTTGGTGTAAACTGAGTCAGAGTTTCTTCCTCCACCTCCATGTGGGTGCCATTTGGGGCCAGGCTGTTCTCCATGGAGGCTTTGGCAACTGTCCTCTACCTTAAAAAGCGCGGAGCAGGTGTGGTTAGGTGCATGGTTGCCCCCAGTTGAGACCTAGTGATCAAAAGTCAGGGAATGGGTCATCCTGGGCAGAAGGAACTGGCCTCTGGGAGATCCTGGAGGGCACAAGGCTGGGGAGCTCTGAGCAGGAATGGGAACACTGTCAGTCACTATAAGTACTTGACCACGTCCAGTGTGCTCTGACTGCTAGAGTGGACAAGGAGCCAGCTGCAGCTCAGACTTAGGAGACCACAAGGTTGAGAGTCCAAGGGTGCTGCCCCTCCCTGCCTGGAGCTTTCCTGTACAGTTGGCACAGGTGATGAGGGTGGCACTCTGGGGCATTGATTTGGCTACCTGTGACCTTCAGGGTCCGCCCTGGCAGCCTCCTTGGTTGAGTGAGAGTCATTTCTGATTAAAGGGATTATTGCTCAAGGTTGCAGCAAGTCCCATCCTGTTTGGAGGGAGAATCTTCCTGTACTGTCTACCTGAGTACATGGATGGGAAGACTTTGAACATTCAGGTCTTACTCAGTGTAGGTTGTGCCTGGCCTGTGCAGACATTCCTGGAACCACACTGATGTTCATTAGTGATTGGCATTAGTAAGAAAGTGAGGAACCCTGAGACACTGGAACAATCTGCTGCATTCAGTAGCTGGAAGACCATAATGGCAAAGCCCTGATCCTGGGAGGTGGTGGCGGGCTGGGCTTTGGGGTACTGCCTAGAGTAAGCCCTGGAGGTTTGAGAGGGACACTGGGGCAGATTCTACCGTGTATCCCACTGCCTCCTTCTCCTTTGCACTTGAAACTTGTCTACAGATGAGGACTGGGCTCTGTGACGTGGAGAACCCAGGTGGCTCTCCCTCCTGCCTTCTGAGCCTAGCAGTACTGTTCCCCTACCGTGAATACCCTGTCCTGCCAGTGTGGCCTCCCTGAAGCTCACCCACCCATCCAGTTAGCATCACAGCACCTGGTCCCTTGTGCATCTGATGTCACCATACTTGGACAGACATTTAGGGGTGTCGACCTCTTCGTGATTTGGCTCCTGTACCAGATGCCAAGTTATGTACAGTCAGGAGCCAGCTACCCCACCCCTCCTGCCTCCCCTGAAGCTTTCCCCAGTACCCATGTCTTCTAGGACTTCCTTTACTTTTGCTTGCCCGCCCCTACATCCACCGGCTTCCTGAGAACCAGGGTCTTCAAGATCCTGCCTTCAGAGGGCGAAAGCTGTTGGCTCAGACCCTGGAGACCTTGAAGGTTGAGACATTATGTGTTACCTGACCACCCCCACCCCCACAGGAGCTGAGGCTCTTTCTCTACTTTTGGATCCTTCCTCTCTAGCTTCCTGGACACATACTGGTATCTTCTAGAGTGTCCACCTCCAGCTAGGCGCGGTAGCACAGGCCTGTGATCCTAAGGCTCTGGAGGCTAAAGCCAGAGAATCATGAGTTTGAGATAGCCTGGGCTACAGAGTGAGACTTTCTTAAAGACAAACAAAAAACAACGTATGCCTTCAACAGAAGACCCAGATTAGTGGCCAGTCCTTTTGCAGCCTCTGACAACTGTCAAGGTGCCCAGTTCCCCTCCCATCAGAGTGACTGACTGATAGCGGAAACACCTGGTTGTCAGAAGTAGTTGGGGGAAGTAGGGTGGGTGAGCATCTGGGCAGACACAGTCGAAAGGCAACCCCACGCTTATCACTGGGTTGAGCTCAAGAACTTAAAAACAGACCCCAGCAAGGGCCAGCTGGGTGGCTGAGTTCCCTACCGAGCTCCTGGTATAGTCTTTCCTGGCTTTGTCTTTCAGGATTGTACTGTGCAGCCCAAATTCCAGCCTCGTTGAGCCAGCCACACCAAGAACTTACCACCAGAAGAGCCCTTCCAAGTACTGACCATGTCTATCATGGACCACAGCCCCACTACGGGGGTGGTCACGGTCATTGTCATCCTCATCGCCATTGCTGCCCTGGGGGCCTTGATCCTGGGCTGCTGGTGCTACCTGCGGCTGCAGCGCATCAGCCAGTCGGAGGACGAGGAGAGCATCGTGGGTGATGGCGAGACAAAGGAGCCCTTTCTCCTAGTGCAGTACTCTGCCAAGGGGCCATGTGTGGAAAGAAAGACCAAGTTGATGACCGCCAATGGCCCTGAAGTGCATGGCTGAGCTGGGCTGCGAAGGCCCTGGTTCCGTTTGCAGCCAGCCCAGAAGCACTGAGAGGGCCGAAGCAGACATGATGGATGCTGTGTGAGAGAGGTTGACAGTTGCTGGCATGGTCTCTTCGGGCTTCATCATCGCATGCACTGACTTGCGGGTCCCGGCTGTCCTGGCATTCCCCCTCAGCCTCCTGGTGGGGCTGCCCGTTGCAGGCAGTGGGCAGGCCTGACCTTGCTGGGGCTCATGGCCCCTTAGCGCTTTTGTTACTTGAATGTTTTAGCTGAGCCTGTTTTTGATGGAGCTACTACTGTAATGCGTGAACTAACCAACCTGTGAACTGTAAATAGGCCCAGAAGCACGTGCTTAAGCCTTTTTGCTGATTTTTAAAATTACCACATAGAGCCCATGGGACTGGCTTGATGACTGTATTCGTGGTGAGCTGCGGCAGCATGACCATGGAGGGTCTTTGACTGGTCAGGCCCCAATTGCCCTTGGCAGGTCTCACTGAGGTCTGATCTGTGTGTATGGAAAGGAAGTGAAAGGCTAGGCAGCTGGGGTGCTGGGGTGATTTCTGCTTGGTTAGTAATGAGTAGAAGAAAAACCACACCCCTCCCTTTGGAGAGCTTCAGCTTTGTTACGTAGCAGTGTGTGCAGATGGCAGTCACTGCAAGGAAACTGCTGTACTTGTTTTGAAGCCTATGACGGACAAGTCCCTATGAGTCCTGAGGGCTGCCAGGCAGCTTAGCGGAGCAGTGTCTTGCCCTTTGGTCTTAAGCATGCCCAGTACATCCCTTCAGCACAGGCCTTGCAGAAACACCAGAGCCTGCGGCGGCTACTTGAAGTCTGAAACCTAGTCAGCCCAAGCAAGGTTTTGTTTTTATATTTAATATTTTCTGCACTGGAGTGGGGGTGGGGTAGGGGATGAATTTTTTTTTCCTCCCATTTTTTCACAAGTGAGCTTCCTTTCCTCTCCAATGACTGCCCACTGGCTGAGTATTGGTTTTCACTTTAGTCCTCGGAGCTTTGTACAGAGCCCCTGCCCCAGCTCTGAAGGTGCCTGTGTGCTGTAGATCATTTCTAGTGTGCACATATGTATTTACAACAGAGCCACCAGGAGTTCAAATTCAGGGCCTGGCTCTCACAGGAAAGCAGCATGTGTCTCCGAGATAACCTTTGAGTCCATGCCTATAAGCTTGTTTGGATGTTAATCCCACCACTCTAAGTACATTCTAAACCATTCTGACTAGAACACCAGTGGGTAGGCACCTTTGATAATGACTAGGTGGCTGGCCCTGGCTTGGGCGACACACTTGAGAGCAGCACGGGCAGGCAGCAGAGAACTTCAGGCTGGAGACAGCTTTAAAAAGCATGTGAGACTAATCCATTCTCTAAATCCCAAGGAAAGAGCTGTAGGGAGCACTTCTTTTTAGCAGTGTATATCTACACATGGTGTGTGTGTGTGTGTGTGTGTGTGTGTGTGTGTGTGTCAGAAGTTAAGGAACAGCTCTAGGTGAGGAGGGACAGCTCTAAGGCCATTTGTGAGGGTAGAAATAAGACATGTATGGTGGGCTGCTGCAGTAAAAACAGCTTAAGAAACTCTTGGACTCTGGTGAGATAGATAGCTACGTCATGGAAGACGTAGAAAGGGGTAGACTGGACATCGGCAGAGGCTGCTTAGGCTGGCTCGGATGCATGTTGGACCTGGCAGCAGTGACTCTTCGGGTCCAGGAGGAGGACAGAATGTATGAAAGGCTCTGCCCTGGAGCTGGCAGAGGCTGAGGGTTTTGGCCCATCCCCATCCCAGCTTTCTACCTCTAATTCTTGCAGCGGCAGCCTATACACTGCTGACCCGAAAACAGCTTGGATCTACATTTTCAGTGTGAGCCTGGCTCCTGGAAATGCTCAAATCACTCCACTGTCAGACACAGGTTGCATCTTTTACTGTGCCAATGACGTTTCTTCTTATCAGTTATACTTGTTGGGTGCTTCCTGTCTCCTCCCCAGTTGCCAGGGATGTCTTTGGCATTTTAGTCAACCCATCGAGACTGGGATGAATTGCTGAATAAGTTCAGACACTGTGGGGCACTGGTAGAGGTCGTAGGGAGAAAAATGAAACACCTATAGAACTAGTGAACAACCACACAATAGTCTTCCCTGTCCTTGTTTATTTTACACTCCAATGGTTAATAAGTTATAACCCTCTCCAGATTCTTTCTCAATTGTGCAAACCTTTGTGGGGAAGTCTTCTGATGAGTAAGAAGTTAGTTAGCCTTTCATCCTGGGGAGCAGCAAGAACACCGAGGCTCAGCCACTGAAGCAAGGACTGACTTTCCTAGATTAATCTTCAAATGGACTGTGCTACTGTTGTGTCTCAAAGCTACCAAGTTTGTGCAATAAGGGAAGGGATGCCATTCCTGATCAATAAACGCTGAATGACATTCAAGTTCATTTTCTAGACCACTGAGAAAATCTTTATTTACAATAAATTTCAATAAAATTTGCATAAATATATTCCCAATATACAGATTTCACCTCTGATTTCTTCATCTCTTTGAAAAGTTAATCTGTCCTGTTCTCATGCTTCCTCTCTGATGTCAGAGTGGAGCTGGTGGCAGAAGGTGGAAGGGTGTCACCAGGTAACTGGGTAGCACCCACGGGCTTTGAGTGGTTGGGGCGAGCCTTCTCCAGAGGGGCTGGTTCCTTGGCTCCACCCTGGCCTTCCAGCTCCTTCTCCATAGTGGCTACAAGGATCTTGAGCCATGTGTGCTCAGGGAGGGGGGTCTCTGAGGCACTGGCCAACTCTTGGAGTTCACGGGCCTTCTGCATATACAGGGCCTGCAGTTTCTGGCTGTGGCGACGGAGCAATCTGTGCTGTTGCTCTAAAGCACGCTGCCGGCGTAGCAGGCGGTGTCCATCCCTGCGGGCACTAAAGAGCTGACCCTCCACCTTCTCCTGTGTAAGGCGTAGGCTGCTCATCTCAGACCTTAGCTTCTGCATGGCACTCTCCACGTGAGAGATGTGTTCATGCTGCAGGACTGCCTTGTTCTGGACATATTCTTGGGTAGGAGGGCTGATGCCAAGGTCCTGAGGGGCAGAGGCAGGGTCTGAGTGATGCAGAATGAACCTCAGCAGGTTTGGAAGGGTGATGGAGAGGTCTCCAGGGTATTTCACACTTAGGTCCTTTCTGGAGAGGAAGGGAAAGTCAAAAGTGAGGATTTGAAGCACAATGTAGAGACAAATAGGTCACCCTGACCAAGAAAAGATCCTGAGTTTTTACTGAAAAGAAGTGATGACCAGGCAAGCAGTTCTCTGTGGAGTTGAGGTACCCCACAGACTTGCACTGCAATTGTAATGCAATTTGACTTAAACAAAGTATCTATCTGTTCCTGAGGATAGAACTCAAGTGTCGGTACTCAATTTTCAGACAAGCTTGCTCATGCCTAAGCCCAAAGCCAGTGAATTAGGGAGGAGGAAGAATGTGGCTACTCTGTCTGAGCTACATGGGCTGGTGATCACAGTAACAGGGCTGTCCTCAGTTACCATGGCTTTTAACAGTACTCATAAAACTGAAAAAATAAACAAAAAGCCAGTAACAGCATATACTTACAGTATCTATAGCAAAAAGTGTTCTTGGCTGAGAGGAACTGTATCCCAGGCTGGAGACACTGGGCTCACACCTGGACAGGACCAACCAGGGTACAGATACACCCTGGTTTACAAGGTGAAGATGAATTAGGGCCACTCAGCCCTGACAGCACAGAAGTGAGGATAGTGACATTCAAAGGGGTTTCTACATCTTTGTTCCATGCTCTATTCAGAACGTGTCATTTTACTGTCCAGCCACCAAAGTTTCTCCCACAGGTATGTTTACCTGTGCACACACAATCTAGCCACCATAACTCAAAGCACTACTTTGTACAGCTCTGTCTGAGGTTAGTCAACAGACAGGAATCAACATCCTCAGAGTAAAGAAATGGAGCTGGCAGGGTCCCACAATGCGCTCACTCAGTGCTAGGTATTCTTAGACAAATGATCTACAAATTGAGTTTCACGATAGCCAGGGCTACACAAAGAAATCTTGTCTCCAGGAACGGGTTGGGGCTGAGGCAAGAGTATAACCAAAAGTTTGAAGCTAGCTTAGACTACACTGTGAGATCCTGTCTCACAACAAAAAAAGAAACCAGATTATGTCCCTCTACGTAATGTCTATGGGGGAGGGGAAGAATAAAAACTTTCAAGTAACAGAAAACAGAACTTCAAAGCTTACAATGTCAGCTGTTTTTATCAATAATCTTCTAAGTGCACTTTACAATGTTTTTTCCCTGGGGCACTCAGCATGACCGCAGAGTGGGTACTTGGGCCTGCCACTCTATCAAGCAACAATGGACCTGTCTTTTCTAGGCCCAAATGTAGATGCACCATCCCAGTGAAGAACTGTGACACACCTCAGTATGTCTCTAGAGACATTCACAGAATGAGACTGATAAGCAGAATGCTTTTTTGAAGTCTTGGGGCAATACTAAAAATGCTTTCATATCTTTTATTTTATTATTATTTTGTTGTTGTTGTTGTTGTTGTTATGTTTTGGTTTTAGAGACAGGGTTGCATTCTATAGCCTTGGCTGGTCAGGCTGGTCATAAACTCAGAGATCTGCCTGCCTCTGCCTCTTGAGTATTGGATTAAAGGTGTGCACTACAAAAGAAAAATCCAGCTAGGCGATGGTGGCACGCCTTTAATCCCAGCACTCGGAGGCAGAGGCAGGAGGATCTTTGTGAGTTCGAGGTCAACCTGGTCTACAAGAACTAGTTCCAGGACAGGCTTCAAAACTACAGAGAAACCCTGTCTTGAAAAACCAAAAATAAATAAATAAATTAATTAATTAATAAGAAAATCCACCTTTTTATAAATCCTATTTATTTTGTGTTTGTATACAGTTGCAGTGGTGACCCTGTGGAGGTCAAGGGAGAAGTTATGGGAGTGGGTTCTCTTCTACCATCTGGATTTTCAGAACTCTTACCAGCTAAGCCATCTTGTCAGCTGTTTTGTTTTAGACAGAGTCTCACTCAATATGTGGTCCAGGCTGACTCTGAACTTGTGATCTTCATGTCTGTCTCCTCTGCTGGGATCATAAGAGTGACGTGCTTGGCTACTTTTTTTTTTTTTCTAGTTTTGACTCAGGGTTTCTCTGAGTAGCCCTGGCCATCCTAGAACTCATTCTGTAGACCAGGCTGGCCTCAAACTCAGAGATCCTCCTGCTTCTGCTTCCAAGTGCTGGGATTAAAGGCACATACCTTCATTGCCACCATCGCCCGTCATATATATATATATGGTCAATGTTGGCCGTTTTTTTTTTTTTTTCCATACATTAAAAAAAAGTAGCTAGGACACAGAGTTTATGGTTACTTCCAAAAAGTAGTCCTTTTAATCTGGGAATGGTGGCTCCCATATTAATTTCAGCACCCCCAGGATTACATACTGAGTTTTAGACCAGCTTGAGAACAATGTGAGCCTCTGGTCAAAAAAAGAAAAAAAAAAAAAAAAAAAAAAAAAAAAAAGGGTCCCACATCTAGTTAGAACCTCAGAAGCAGTGAGGTTCTTCCTGGTGCAACACTGGAACATCCTTGTGGAGCATGTACCTGCACCCTCTGGCCCAGAGTAGGGCAGACTGCTGATTTGGGGACTGGCTCTAAGATAGCCCTGTGTAAGAAGGTAAGGGTCCACATCCCAGCCTCCACTTATGAAGAAGAGAGAAAGGAGCTAGGTAGGCTACACTGTGGGTGGAGGACAGGCCTCTGACTGCAATAGGGCACAAGCAATGTAGTTTGCAGGGATGTAAAAATCATACAATCACCATCTTCCAGTGCATTCAGCCTTCACATCTCAGAAGCAGCCATGTTACACCTTAGCATTTCCCTCTGCATAGCACCACCTTGTGTAGGGTTTGCATTTTCCATACTGCATGTACAGCTTTATATTTTCACTAAAAATAGCAGGAGCAGGTGAAGCATGAAAAACCCTCTTATTACATGTTACCCAACAGTGTTTCATTTTCCCTTCTGTGAGCTTTTGTACTCAATAGCTGATAGTCATGAGCTGCTTTTAGTTCTCAGAGCTGCCTAGTAGCCCTCAGAGTCCTCACTCAGCTGATGGCTTCTTGCTGGGCCAATACATCTCTGCCCCCTTTTATTTATGGTTATCCAGGAAAGAGTCACATTATAATTTTCTATTCCACCTTCTGGGTAAGCCAAATGCTCTCTGGACCAGCCAATGATGAGTTCCCTCCACTTGTGCCTACCATCTGTTTTTAGGAAATGAGAAAAATCCCATTCCAAAGCAATAAAGGCTTTGATTCACCAGACCCTCTGTGTTTAACAAACATGGGCAGTCTTCTACTCTTCAGTATCTAGGGACACAGGAGGGGCTGCAGGACCTGGTGAATTCTTTTTTTTTTTTTTTTTTTTTGGATGCAGGGTCTCATTTTATAACTCCTGCTGACTTTCAACTCAAAGAGCTCGGAGCCTTTCAAGCTGGAATTAAAGGTGTATGCCACCATACCTGGCCTGCACTCATTCTTTTATGATACAAGGCAGCTCTGGAAGTGGAATGCTGGCCAAGCATGTCCCTCTTGTGCACCTGTCCTACAGATGTCTTTCCTTCCAAGTACACACACTCATTAGTCCACATTGTGAGAGCCTTTTGCCTGCTAAGGTATTAATTGTGTGCTGTAACTTTAACATTTTTAAAAATATATTTGGAATTCAAAAATTACATATCATTACACTACATGCCCAACTTGTGTCTCATTCAGATGAAATTGCTGGTGTTAGTGTCCATGATTTCTTGATTATATAGCAATTTAATATGTCTTAGAAAGACAATGGCAGAGCCAGCAGTGGAACAGACTGAGCCACACTGTTCTTAGTGTGACCTGGCAAGCCCCTGCTACCATGGGAAGTATTCTAGCACACATTCTTTGGGATAAAGAGCAAAATAGAGGCAATGACTTGACAAAGTGCAAGGAAGCCCTCTCCCAGAGAAGCCTGATAAACACTGCTGTTGTGCAGTGGTGTAGGAGTTCCTTCTGTATATATGTTGCTTTCACTGGTTAATGAATAAAGAAACTGCCTTGGCCTAGTTGAAAGGGCAGAAGAACTAAGGTAGGTGGAGAAGACATAACTGAATTCTGGGAGGAAGAAAACAGAGTCAGAGAGAAGCCATGGATCCTCCACCTGAGATGGATGCTGGTTAGAATCTTTCCCGGCAAGCTACTGCCACATGGCGATACACAGATTAATAGAA